CACCAAACATGCTTGCCCTTTCAGCCGTGGGGGCGTTATAATGTGACGGTCAATCCCACTATTCGTTGGTAAAAGAGTAGCCCAAGAGTTGGCGGTGGGTGGTGATGACTAGCTGCGATCCCTCTAGTCTTACACTGTTAAATTATGGACGGCTAGCGCAGATAGCACTCGTGTAGCTTTGCGCGAAATTCAAAACAAATCGTTGTAGACATCTAATTCCGAGTTTTAGCGTTAAAAGCCCTCAAGCTTACGAACTGAGTCACGGTAAGCCTCATCGACGTAAGAACACCATTACCGAATAAGTTTCTAAATACATAAGTAAAACTTAAAATTAAACCTGAAAAAAAATCCTTCAGGTGGTTTGAAAGTGCACTTGGGATAAAATAATCTAAACATTTCCTTATGCCATTATTTTTATACAGGCCATTGATGCTATGCTCTCTTGCAAGAATTATGTGTTAGATTGATAAATCCTGGCCTATTTGAAATACTTTTACGTGATCAGACAAATAAACTCGTGTAGACGGAACTTTATTTAAGAAAACTACACGTAAAGTAAACAATAAAGTATAGTAATGGTATTTATAATAGTGTACAGAGTATGAAACAGTTATGAGCGTTCAGTGTATGACACGGTTTTATGAGTTGAAACAAAGAAACTCTCCAAAAACGAAGAATAAAACCCGTAGTAAAGAAAAACGTAGCTAAAAGGTGTTTATAGCAGTCTGTGGAACGGACCGAAGCTAAATTATTGCAAAGTAAAGTAAATGTAAAGTTGTATTGAAGACAGACTTAGCTGAATATACAGAAACGTCTGAATGTGTGTTCACAAAATGATAAGCATATGGTTTGAACGAACTGCGCATGCATATTTTAGACCTAAATAAGTCTAGAAAGCTCACAGAAATTGTATTTAGTGTGTTGTTCATTTTTTAGGAAATTACATGCGGATTAAGCGTTGTTTGTGTGAAATTCTTTGCAAAAAACAACAACTAAAGTTGAAATTGAAGCCAGTCGTCATGTGGTGACAACGACATTGTGCTATCGTGTACCATACTCGTTGCATTGAAAAGCTTGACTAAGCAAAAAAACAAGTAAACTGCTCGGACAAAGGCCTTTCTAACGACATGAGATTTGTAACGTTTGGTCGAGAAATTTGCAAGAAAAGTTCCAGACAGATAAATGCAAAGCGTATTATTTATACAGATGTGTAAAGGGGGCGATTCTGTATTTCTAGTTACTTATTACGCAAAAAAAAACTAAAAAAAAACTGGAATGTATATCCGTTACGGTTGTGTTTGCTAAAAATTATTAGGCTTACCTCTGTACATACAATAGCATACCATTATTAGGCTTACCTCTGTACATACAATGGCATACCATTATTAGGCTTACCTCTAAACATACAATAGGATACCATTATTAGGCGCTTTGCGCGAAATTCAAAAAACAAACAATACATCTTGGGCGCCATAGGACCTAGTTGTTCAGTTCGTAAATCCTCGTACTAACTAAAAATATGGGGATATAGGACAAGACTGCTCTCCGAAATCGTTGTTTGATTGTTTTAGAATGTTTGCTCAAAGCTACACAATTGGATATCTGCGTATAGCCGTCCCTGATTTCAAGCTGAGATTAAAGAGTTTGTTTTTTTTGATACATGATGGGCTGGCTATCTGTCTGTGCTCGCCACGAATATCGAAACTCGTTTTTAGCCTGAAAATCCCCCAGACAGAATGGAACGAGACTAGAAGGAAAGGCAGCTAGTCAACAGCACTCATACCAACTCTGTCTGATCATAATAGTTGGATATGACTGTCACTCTTGTAACGCATCCACGGCCTTACAGTGTGGAGCGCATTTTTGCGGAAACGGGAATTTTCTGTTTACCAACTCTTATATTAACTGATGCTATCGATGTCTTATTATTTGTGTTGTGATTTTCGGAAATCATGGCGCTAAAACGTTTAAGTTGCCTGTATATCACGTATTCTCAGTTATTGTTTATATATATATACATTTGTTTGTCCATGTCTATCTTTCACCTGCTTTCTCCACAAGGAAACGTTTTTGTTACAAAATCCAGATTTACATCTTGGGGCTCCGACATGGCCAGGTGGTTAGGGCACTCGACTCGCAATCTGAGGGTCGCGGGTTCGAATCCCCGTCCCACCAAACATTCTCGCCCTTTCAGCCGTGGGGGGCGTTATAAAGTGACGGTCAATCCCACTATTCGTTGGTAAAATAGTAGCCCAAGAGTTGGCGGTGGGTGGTGATGACTAGCTGCCTTCCCTCTAGTCTTACACTGCTAAATTAGGGACGGCTAGCGCAGATAGCTCTCGTGTTGTTTAAAAAGTGACTCAAGAAAGCTTTAAAAAATGAAAAATGACTTGACATGTCATATCTCTACATCTGGTAATCTGTGCCTGTAATATTCACAATAAGAGCTGTCCTTCTTCTCAAGTAATATTACTAATTCCGTAATATACCACTGATAAAAGCATGTTAGTTAGTTCGGTAATACTGTACACGAATTTCTATCTGCTGGACTTTCACAAGCACTCTAGCGTCCTCTATATCTGACATGTTTAGTAGCATAAAATTATTTTCACTTTGCTGAACTATCTAATTTCAATATACTTAGATTCGTTTTCCAGCATATTTAGTGGAACAGCTGTGCTACCATCTACTGCCGACTAAGGTTCTGTAATTTTCGTATCATTAGCCATTAACCTCGTGCTTTCTATTAAAAAATTCCACAATATATTTTTTTCGTATCGTGTATGTGGTTGGTCGTATACCCTAGGACGTTTTACATTATCGATTCTCATAACGAGCTCTGATTTATTCGTTACTTAGAGCTAAAGTCTGTTTTTTTGTCTATCTCGTTGTGCTGATCAATAAATAGCTTATCATTAACAACACTAGTCTCTCTCTCTTTCTATATATATATATATAGGTTTGAAGCAAAAAAAAAAGACGTATAACGAGTAAAGTTAACGTTACAGGATACGGTTTCTTTAATGCCCTTCACTTCCGGTAGGTGGAAAATTTATTTTCTCGGAACTTTCACCTCTGTCCACTTGGAAACTAGTTGTTAGCGTGTTCAGTTAGTGATCTCGAAGATTCGTGGTTCGCGACATTTGCTATGGAAATGCGCTCCGTATTTTGGAGTCTCATTGTTCGATCAGACAGTAGCTGGCGGTTGGTGCCATTGAGCAGCTGCCTCCACTCTTGTAAATTAGGGAGGGCTGTGCACAGGTAGCCTTTGTGTAAAATTTTGAAACAAATCTATACACTTAGTAAAATAGTGTTATCATTAGGCTTTTATTAACCTTAGTTCAATAACAAAGTCGTTTTCTCTAGATAAATATTCGGGAAACGTTTCTTTTTTTTATAAAAATATTTTAGAATTACGCTACACAGTTCTTAATTGAAAGTACTATTTTTTTACTATACTTTACCATCGTGTGAACTTCGCATGATATGGTGTTATGAATGTGTTAGAACAAAGTGTTTGTTAAAAGCTTCGGCTCTCAGTACGTCCTTCAACAATATCGCCCTCCGGGGGCTCTGTCTCTAGACTTATGACGCCAGAAAATCGGGTTTCGATAATAGTGG